ATTTTCTAAATAAATGATTTAATGCTTAGAAAGATGTTAGGGTTCGGGATTTCCAGCTGGAAAACGTAATTCTGAATGCCAAGTTCATGGTATTCAAGCTCCTCTGCTTTAAATGTCAGGGCTGTTCGCCTGTATCAAGCACTGGACTGATAAAAGCAGTCAGGGAAATAGAAAACAGAAAGGAAATCAAATATGCCACATGGAAGAAGCGAGCAGACCACTGTGACAACTCACAGCCTTCCTTGGAAAAGAAACAGTACCTGAATTAAATTTCTGAAAATAGGTTAGGTTGTTTTCAAATTTTATATTCAAGTCATACAATTATAAAATTGTAATAAGAAAATAGACTTTTGTACAGCCTGACTTAAAAAAAGAAACTGAGTGGATTTTTTCCACTGTGTAATCAAAAGTTAAAAACAGAAATTTTGTAGGAAGGACATATACAAAAAGTTTTTCTCTTTCATTTAACTCATTTTTCTTACTTGCCTTTTCCTCTTCCTCCTTTGAACGTAGGTAATATTAACACATTTTATCAAACTTTTGTGAGATGAATGCTGATTTGGCATATGTTGGTGGGCAACATATTTCCCTTTAGTAGAAACAGATTAGAAAATGTTTACCCATTATATAGCATCACTTAAATAGGATGTAAATCTAAAGTGATATAAACTGCAACCTATCTATTCAGAATTTTTTAAACATAAACTATGTTTTAAGTGTTGAAGTACACAGTTGATTTTTAATATATGTTTTGTTTTGGTTGCTAACAATATGACATGTGAGAAAATACTGAAGTCAAAGAAATAAAACACCCATGACAAAGACCACTCAATGGACGCGTGGATGATAAAAATCAGAAAGAAACAGGAACACTTTCATTTATTTTAGAAGAAAATAAAATCTCAACTATACCCCTCCACCCTTACTGTCTCCTTATATAAAGAAGATATATTATCCTCATATTATATATAACGCCCGCCAGGGTTAGGCCATTCCAATATTGCACTTTGATTTTATAGAGTAAGTTATGCTTAATTTAGAATGAACATCTTATTATAGCAGCTAGATAATAAAATTTGCTTAATATACTTAATATATTAATAATGCTGTTTCTTAAAATTATGGTAAATTACTTTAAATAAAAATTCCTTGACTGCTCTACCTATTATAAAGTAAATAAGGGAAAGGTCCAACTTGAATCAAACACATCTTCCAGCGAGACAAGTTGGTTATTGCACATTCCTTTCTTAGCCTTTTTGGTTGTTTCTGGCAGAAAAGATTCACATGTGCTCTCATGAAACTATTAAATAAATCCAACAGTAATGGTGATGTATTGAATCTATATGAGAGCTGAGGATTTAGCCGACTCATACTGCCTCCTCCTTTCCTCTCTCTTTCTTTCAAATATTTAGTAGTGTTATTAAATCTTCTACTGTTTACCTTTGAATAAATGTACTCGATACTTATTTAGTTTTCTCTTTTCTACGTTTCCATTCACCCACTAACAATTAATTAGTCCCCTTAATGCATGTTTCTGGAGCTCTTTCTTGTGCCCACTTCTTTCACATCAAGAACTCTTCCTAATAACTTCCATCCACCTAGATTTTTGAACACCCATCTCTGTGTCCTTAACTCAGCAAGTCCACAAAGATCCCTTGAGATCTCCATCAGAAATCACAGCATTCATATGGCTCCCTTTAGTTTTCCTTTTCTCAGAGTTCATAGCACTGTGCTTCTATTGTGCAACGACTAAAAACTATTGTCACATGTATTTTGTCCAATTTTTAGTTTTTTAGGGTGAAAGGTTACATCTAGTCCCTGTTATTTCATCATGGCCAGAACAAAAGTCCACAGTGCTTTTTGAAAGTTCATCACATAATTATAATGTATAGCCAGGGTTAAGAATCATTCTAAAGTAGAGTGGACTTTTTTTTTAAAATGAAGAAACTTTATCTTATCTTAAAATATGAGACATTAATATTTGGCTATCCCTTCAAATTCTATCCAATTTCATCTTACCTCAAGAGATGGATTTGGGGTTTTTTTGTTGCTATTTTATCTGATTAACCTTTTATTTCTTTTAACTGTTTAGTTTCCTTTTTTGTGTACGTGAGGGAGATTGACTCTAAGCTAACATCCTCTGCCAATCCTCCTCTTTTTGCTAAGGAAGATTGTCCCTGAGCTAACATCTGTGCCCATCTTCCTCTGTCTTGCACATGGGACGGCACCACAGCATGGCTTGATGAGCGACGCTGAGGTCTGTGCTCAGGATCCGAACCCCTGAAGTGCAGACTGCTGAAGTGGAGCACGCAAACTCAATCACTATACTACTGGGCCAGCCCCATTAGTTTCTTGCTTTTTGAAATTCAGTCCTCATATCAGCAGCACTGTCATTAAGAGCATATTAAAAATTCAGAATCTCAGATCTGCTCAGTTTCAGTCCGAATATTCATAAGATCCTTAGGTGATCCCTGAGCACCTTATATTCTGAGAAATTCTGAATAATATACATACTACAAAACTAATGAAAACCAAATGAAATTGATACGTGAGGAATCAAGATAACTAACAAGACTTTTAAAAGACCATCTAAAGGGTAAGTTATTTTGTATTTTAAGTTGTGTTGATTATGTATCTGCTACTACTCTTATGTTACTTTCCCACTAAGGTGATAAAGTGGTAATTAAAGCAAATATCATATTGTGGAAAGTAAATTCTAGCTCTTGCATTTTATTTGTGAGCCAGTTCCAGTGTATAGGTCAACAGAAACATGCTGTCTTTTTCTAATGTTAGTTTATTCTGTCATTTAGTTCCATTTAGTGTCAGGTTGTGTTAGAATTGTTAGAGCACATATAAACCAGTTCAGGGAAAGAATGGTCATTCTTTGGAAATAATTGACAGAATAACAAACCTTTTACTACTTTGCAGGAAGTCAAGACACATCAACAGTTATGTCACTTCTTCTGCAGTCTTTCTGAAATTTTTATGGAATGCTGTAAATGAATAGGTGACATAACATTTATTGGGGGAAAAGTAAAATACTTTTGAAAGATGAATGTAAATGTATTATTTATTGCTAAGGTAAATTTAGCAGTCTTTTCCTACTTAGTTTTTCCTTCAACTTAACAAATTGATAAGTAAACATCTTTTGGGAGTAAGGTAATGCGATGGGGGCTGCATATGAAGATATATGATACCATTACTCTATCGGAGAGCTAACAATTTATTAGGAGAATATGAGGTATAAACACAAGAAAGTTCAATGTAAAGTAAGTGTCATCAAAGAATATCACTGGATATTAAAAGAAAAAATAGCATCATTTAGCCTTGAAATCAAAAGGAAATTCATAGAGAAAAGATAACCTGTGGCCAGGTGCTAACGATGCCATGCTGGAATTCCTGGTGGATAGCATCACGTTAGGAAACGTCTAACGGCAGGAGACCACAGAAGTGATTGACCTGGATGATTATATGGGAAATTGGAGAGAAGAAAAATTTAAAGTGAAATCTCGAGTGGGACCACCGAAAGGGGAATTTGTATGCAGAGTGATTGAAAACTTTCACTGAGTGACAAAAGCAGTGATCTGTTCCATAAACGACAGCCTCCCACAGGATAAGTTAGAGAAATGTGGAGCTAATTAGAAGGTCTGTAGCAATCTTGATAAGGGAATAATCAGAATGGAAAGGAGGCATTATGTATCAGAGATGTACTGCAAGTAGATGCTACACTAATTTGAAAATAATCGGATAGAGAGAAACTCTTAAGGCACCAAAGATCATCCAAAGGAATCTAGTCAATTTTTCTTAAAGAATAGTTCCATTTGTACACATTGTAAACTAAAGAGAAAGAACTAATCGCATTCGGAAAGGAGTTTGAGGCATGCTGAATTTATGATGCAGCTGGAAAATCTAGATGGAAATGTAGAACAAGCAGACAGAACAAATGTCTAGATTTTTTTTTTTTTTTAGGAAGATTAGCCCCTTGTTAACATCTGTGCCCATCTTCTACTTTATATGTGGAACACCTGCTACAGCATAGCTCGATAAGTGGTGCATATGTCTGCACCTGGATCTGAACCTGCGAAGCGTGGGCCTCTAAATGGAGAGCGCAAAATTAACCGCTTTGCAACCAGGCTGGTCCCCATGAACGTCTAGATTTTAACAATAAAAATTAAAGACATATCAATTCAGTTTGGCTTGTATTAATTTTGCAGTATGCATAATATGTATGAAGCTAGAAAAGTAACGGTTAAAGACATAGAATTGCACGAAACCAAGGAAACATATTTGAGATAGCATGAAAAAGACCAAGAAGTAATAGAGAGCACAGTTATAAGGAGAGAGACATATAAAGAATAGAAAATAGTGAAGAAAATAGAAAAAAATATGTATGTTTCAGGATAGGAAAGAGTCAGGACAAATGCAATGAAACAAAGGAAGAGAATTACAATAGGCATCAATAGTTTCAAGTGTTTCAAAAAGAATTAGATAAACGAGATTATTAAATATAAACTTAAGTGTCAGTCATGTGTTTGGACTTTCCAGATAATATCTCTGTGATAAGTTTCCTAGAACTCATAACAATCTCCCCATTTTAAGGTCAACTGATCTAATTAGTAATGATATTTCCATGTGCAGTCTGTTCCTAGCAGTACCTAGATTTATGTTTTACTGAATAACCAGGGGATGGGCATCGTAGGGAAGTCATCTTTAGAATTCTGCCTACCACAACTGGAATCTTCTTCTTTCAGGTTTACAGAACTTTTTCTGCACATCTTATGTTTCATATTCCATGTCCAGGGTTAGGTAGCCAATTTCTTGTTCCAGATACCTCATTCTCAGTGACTCAGTGAACATTCCTTCACAAGTTCTTTCTAAGTAATAGTGAGTATTGAAATGCTAAAGAGGATGTCTTCTTTCAGTTAGTTCTACAAAATTCTTCCTGCTTCAAGTGTGGATCTAAGATTGACTCTCTCAGTATAGAATGTTCAAAGACTGACCCTTGGTTTTGCCTTCAAGACTGGTCACGGTGGGGTGGCGTATCCTCTCTCAATGAGTTGTGTACTCTTCCACACTAGGCAAAGAGAGTTGGAATAAATGTATCTCCATGACTGAAGTCTGGTCAGAAAACAAAACAAGAGAAGAACCTCTCAATAAAAACACTGTTTCTCTCACATTAGACCACCTTGGATACTATAATGCTACATGAGTGATGGCTTTACATGACCAAATCCCTCCCTGAAATCTCACAGCAGCATGGAGGTGGGTGTTCCTGCTTAATCACGTATATTCCATATGGAAGGAAACATAATTTAAATAAGAGTGCTGAGAGACAGGGAGAATGGCACTGAGAATACAAGTTATGCCTTAGTGATATAAAAACACCCACATTCTCAGAAAGTTTAGCGTAGAAGAAATACCATTTTCTTATGGGAAAAGCATAACAATGGTATTCTGTCCACAGAAAATTATAGCCTCCCCACTTTTGTAGCTTTTGCTCCATGTCTAAACAACAAATTGTTCTGCATTGCATTCCTCTCATCCAAATTTGCTATTCTGCATTTTATTTTGCTAAAATCTAATTCCAAATAGAGAACAAAACAAACAACATACCCCAAAGTTGCCATTACAAACTCTTCTTAATAAACATATAGATTTTCATTTAATCCTCCATTGTGTTCTTGATATGACTTACTGCTATGTCAAAAAGCTCAACTTCATCTTAATATTCACCATATGGCTATTCCCTCTACGTATCCAAACAATCATTGCTGTTTGGGCCCAGACAACCTCAAATCCTGGCACAATAAACAGCAGTGGTAGCTGTCGTTTACTGTCTTTCACAGTGGGGGTGGAGCAACTAGGGTTATAGAACATTCTTAATGCATAGAATATCCTAATAATGAATTTGAGGTCATAGACCAGGAAAAAAAGTGGGTAAAATATTGGTTAAAAATTTGGATATTTTATCTGTCATCTGTAGGCCTAGAATTGAAAGAAAATGAAGATATATGCATGGAAAGTATTTTCTTTAATGCAACAGGTATTTTTTGATCACTTATTATGTCTAGGCACTGTGTGGCACACTTAACCCTAAAATGTTACCCTTGCCAACAAGCAGCTTAGGATCTAGCTGTTGAGAAAAGATGGGAAGTGAATTCATGAATAATTAGTAAGATGCCAAATAAGGAAAGGAGAAAAGCATCAAATAATAGTAAAATCTGTTGGGAATCACAAGGAGGGAAGAAGGTTCCTGGATAATTCTAATTGATTCTTCCAAAAATGAGGGTTCTTGCTAAGTGGCCAACATCCTTTCCAGCAGTCTTTCTTCTTTTTTAAATTTCTTTTGGTGAGAAAGATCGTCACTTAGCTAAGATCTGTGCCAATCTTCGTCTATTTTGTATGTGGGACACTGACACAATATGGCTTGATGAGTGGTGTATAGGTCTGAGCCAGGGATCCAAACTAACTAACACTGGGCAGCGGAGGCTGAGCATGCAAACTTAACCATTACACCACAGGGCCCGCCCCCAGCCTTGCTTCTTCAAGTACTTTTGCAACAATGAAAATTAGACAAGTGCAGCTCTGACTAAGATAAAAAGAAACACTGTGTACATTCATGCAGAATGAAGAACTTTCCAGAGAAGCAAAGGGAGGTTTTCCAGTGGAGGCTGGTAAAGGCTGTTTTGTTTTGTTTTCATTTTGTTTCATTTGTCCCAACGTCAAGATATTTTCCAGTCTAAATTATTCATCTGTTATGAAGAGCAAAATGAAAAATACAGCACAAGGTGCAAAGTGATGTTCAAATAGTCTTATTAAAGGTATTCCTCTCCACTGCTGAATCTGTAAAGCCTTTTAAAAATATATTTAAATTGGGAAACTTAAAATAGGTTATTAACTACATATTAAGTAAAATAGCTATGACATAATTCTGGCACACCAGTTCATAAAACTGAGTCTCTTGATAATTTGATTGATGTAATTTTGTTCTCCATATACTTATGATTTATAGCCAGCTGACTTTAAAAATTATTAGATGCAACTGATTGATGTAATTAGACCATGAAAATGAATGAAATCTTCTGACATATTAGGCGGTAACTCATTTAAATGAGGTGCCTAATTTCTTAGCTTCCAGAGTCAGATCAATTTTAGATAAGTAATTTATACTACTGAATTATATTCCAATTTATGAGGACAAAAATATTAAGCACTATACAGCCTGTTGAGCAACTGCCAAAGAATCACAGATTTTAGTGCTGAGACAGTTAAGTGTATAAATGTTTAATGACCTAAACCAACAAGCCAAGATTTTTTAATGCAATAAAAATAAATGATATAGTTCAAAGCAGTGACAATTGCTAATTTATGAACTATAAACCTTACTAGCCGGGCTAGGTATTGCCAGATATAGTCATCTAATGAAGGAAGTCTTTTGCAAGCCAATAATATAGTTGGAACTTACTTCTAATGTATTCTAATAGAATTTGTACCAAGAATTAGAAATGTCATTTTCATTGGTAATGAATGGAGTGTTGATTTATAACCGAACTCCAGGGATCTATTTATAACTACTTAACACTCACTGAGGGTTGAGGATATGTATATATGATATTTATACAAAAATAAATGTATTCCAATGAAGAATGATTTGTTACTCAAGACACCGTCTCAAGGTGTACACAGTGAAGAGCATGCCTCTCTCATTGTTCATCAGAGAGAAGCCAGAATCTTATTTGGTATGCAATTCCTTTCTCAGTTGGAATAAAGGTATTGTGCAGCCTATGAAACAAGATGGCAATTGCAAATAGCTGCAAACTCCACCTCCAGAGAGTCTAACAGCAAACCAAGTAATTGTCTGAGTCTATAGCAAGAACAGAGCTTACCTCTCAATTGCACATACCTAGGGTGAAGAGCCCACTGTCATCTTTTGGAATCACAATGGCCATTTAAAAATGTATAAATATGCTGCTCTTTGAAACACCTAAGTTTATATTTCACTGCACATATTTCTGTTTATGTTTGGAAATAATCTATTAAACTGCAGAACCTTCAATTATTTATAGGCTCTTTTCTTGCTCTTTAACAGTATTTTGGGCTTTTGGACACTTTGGGACACATTATTTTAATGATTTCACATAATTTTATATTCCAAAAGGGATAAAAATGCCTTTGCATTTTAAACACTGATTGCTGCCCATATATATTTTTAAAGCTATATATCTATATTAATAATTGTATATATGTAGTAGACATTAAAATAGAGCGATATAAATTCTTGCAACTTTTTGAAATACCTTTTTTTAGAACCTATTAATATTTTTAACACAAAAATTTATTCTACCATGTTATCAGAGTGTGCATATCTTTTGAGGAGTAACATATGAATTCAACATTCCTTGGATCTTTTAAACTACTTTAATAGGTTTCTATGTCCATATCCATGTGTATGATTTTCTCATATTATCTGGAATCAGTTCAAATGAAGATTTGTTTCATATCTCTACTCTCATTCTTTCTTTGGGACAGGATTTTCATCTGTTTTAATATGCGTTGTTTTGTCTAAACATCAAAACCTTCCAAATGTGAGCAGGAAACAGTCCAGCTTACAACAATAGAGGCAATTATCCAGCCAAGGGCAGAACACTGGTGATTACCCAGGGCCAAGTTCAGAATACTTGCTTCCTAAGGAAGTTGTATTTATGGGCATTTTATTTTTATGTCTTTTAACCGAAATGCGATATTTGAGATTTCAAAGAATCAAAGTAATCCAGAGAAAATTTTTTTGGGCAGGGATGTATGAATTTTGAACTCTTTTTAAAAGAAAGGTTTGTGTTTTGTTTTGTTTTAGATTTGGGAAAGTGGAGTGGTAGGAAGAGTGAGATCGAAGTTTTAAAAAGTCGAAAAGCAATAGTTGCTGTATATTTTTAACAGGTATTGTGAAAAGTGTGTTTTAGCTGTCAGACTTGCCAGTATTGATGCCAGAAAGGGCCAAGATGATTTCTGACTCTGCGGTTGGTCTTTAGAGATATTGTTTCCTCTTTGCTATATTTTTTTTGAGTCACACAAACGGACTCCACAGAACATGGACATATCCACACAAAGAGAGGCCAAGAATAAGAAATAAATTGAAGAATGGGATTGATTGGATATCAGTTTTATAATAAGGAAATTAGATTATTAATTTATACCAATATCAAACTGTTTTAATTTCCTATGATTTAAATTCCTTTTTTATGTAAATCCTCACTTAAATACTTGTAAAAGCATACTTTATATCCATGTCTCTATCTGTCTATGTACCCCCACTGGAGATCCAATACTTAGTACTTCATTCATTGCAAATATTGTCCTAAACCATTGAAATACTCCGGTTTATACCTACTAAATTTCCAATTTCAGAAGTTACTGTTTCACAATAAATTCCAAAAACGAAATAAATTCCTGAATAATAATCACTGTTTATAGGAAATATCAGCTATAATATTATACCGAAAACAAATTATAATTTTACACAGTAACAGGTCACCAGCTACAGAGCTGCAAAATGTGAATTTACAGGGATCGTGATCTACCAACTGCTGCAAATGACCTTGAAAACCCAAAACATCATCAAACCATGCAAGCACTATTGGATTTCTGTCAAGACCATAAAATATTTAAAGAAAATAATAGAAGATCATGGAAGTTGCAGAGTAATATGGAAGAACATTTGGCAGATGGTAGATTTATAACATCACAGTTCTATCTGTATAAGCATAAATTAGTCAAATTGATCTATAGTGAGTATCATAACCATTTTCCAGGACATTTAAATAGGAATATGCAACAAGGATACATTTTCCCTAAGGAAAGTTATAAGTAAGGGGGAAATATTTCAAGGAATAAATAAAGGCCATTTATCTGTCAAATGTATTCTTGTTCCTGTGTTTCATTTTATATTGTGCCACCTAATGATTATTTTGTTGGTTATTTTAAAAATCATTTCCTTGGACAACCTTGACTTATAACTTTGTAGATGTATTTAACATCTTCAAGAGAATAACATTTCTTTTTACATTGATAGAGAATAGGTTTAATTTTTTAAATTACTATTTAATTTATGGTTGCAGCTAAAA